TGATAATAGTTAGAATTTGGTTAGTGTGTATGTAGTAATAATATCCAAATATCTAGTTATTGTAACTATAATACAAGGGATAAAAAACATAGTTGGCTTATATCATATATGGTTAAAAAAGTATTGATAGAATTAAACAAAACTTCTACTTAATAATTAAAAGATCTGGTATTTGTATAACATTTAGATGCAACACCAACATAGTTTAGATCTTGCAAGCGAAAAAGATTGGTTGGATTAATATGAAGCATGGATATAACAACCTGACTATTTGGTTAAATATGAATAATCTAAAATATTCATTATCTTAATCAGACAAATTTGGTTAGACATTTTGTTTCTTAACGATTGCGTTTGGTAGCCAGCTTTTGACATCTTCTCAACTATCGGTTGAATGATCTTCGATCAGTTGAATGATGTAAATTGTGCAAAAGTTTCTCATGTACCAAAAATGAATCAGAAGATATCAGATTAAAGTGCTGTAATTTATTTATCTGTATTATTTGTCTAACTATACCTAATAAAAAATGTAAGATTAAACCAATAATCTACCTAGAAAAAACTTTTTCCTCATTTCGAACCAGATTGTTTCGTCGAATAAAAAATCTATGTTAATAATATATATCATGATATTACAACTAATAATTTGGTTGACTTGTTCCAAGCGTACATAATCATATGTTATCTGGTTGCCTTAACTAGAATGCGTGCCACCAAATTTGTCTGGTTATATCAAATAGAATGTATAAGTAATTAAATTTGTTTGTCGCATTAATGAAAATTTCGTTCATTTTTCACCAAATAATCAAGTTATTGTAGCCAGATTCAGGTTAATTCGATCAATTTTGTTTCCGTATGTAAATTTCATATAGAATTGTTCTATTTACCTTAAATACATGTTCATTAGGTACAATCTTGGTTGCTTTAAATTTGATCACATCCGATAACCAACTTGTGGCTTCGTATAATCCAGCTAGATTCCATTGATGAAGAACCTGCGAGGACTGCAGGTCGTAGTGCGTTAAAGATAAAATGTGATGATTTTCACTTTTCAGGTATTCCAATTTTGTCTAATAAAAAAAATCATAACGAATATAACGAACGTAATAAATATTATAGTATATAATACAAGCATACGAAATGTACTTGACGGCAGTTTCTCTCTTTTTGCATCCGTGGACATAAGAACAAAATTCTTTCTTTGATTTTTTATGTATAATTTCATACAAATATCTGTATCGTACCTGTGACGGTCCGGATTTGAGTGCTTCAATATAAGTAGCTAATCCACAGCTACCTTTTGGCGGCACAAAAGTGAAGTAATCCAAAAAATGCAATCCGATTAAGACAAGTTTCATACTTGGCCATGTTCTATAATTTTCAGTAAAATCGAGAATAAGATGTGTTTTGATAAAATAATAAAAATGAGATAATAAGATATAAAAACCATACTAATGACAAATATGAGCAGAAATAATCTATAATAAAATTTAAATGTAAACACAATCAAATCCACGTAAATAAATTTTCAATATTGAAGTTAAGTTTTATATAAAAAATTCTATATTTTTACTAATTTTATTTTTTCATATAAAATTATTACTTTTTCTAGTTATTTGTTAATATATTACGAAACACTATACATACAAATAAATATGGATTATTATAAATGATACGTTACTGATAATTGCTTCGATGAGAGAACCAAATGTCGTTGATTAATGTTTTATACGACATCATGTTTTCACAATCGAATATCTTTACTTGTAACCAACTACCTAACTCAGGAAGCCCAACGTTAAGAATATTCATCGTCTGTATAGAAAATAAAGAAAGAAGAAAATGATTTATATGTATATTTATTAATATATTATAAATTAATATAAATTTAA